TTTGCATTTGGGTCTTCAATATGAAAATCAGCAGGATCTGGTGTGCTAGTATTTTTCACGCCATCTTTTTTTCCGGCGACAAGAACTTGGTATATAAGGAATTTCCTGTGCAAAACTGAATTAGAAGTACGGTGACTCTGCTGGAGTACGGTAATATTGCGAGCAGAGTCACCGTACTTCAAATTGGTTCACCAACCGCTGGTCTCCTTCACTCTTTGGGACTTCACTCTTTAGAAGAGTGAAGACTCAGAGAGTGAGGACTTCACTCTTTAGAAGTCCTCATTTCCATTAGTGAACCCAATTCTGCGCAAGGATTCCTTTGAATGTTTCCCTCCCCTCCCCTCCCGCCGTTTATCTGCAACTTTTCTCTCTCCACTTTTTCTGCTATTTGCTATTTCTGTTTAGTTCCAATGCTTCATTTTATTTGAAAGGAAAAATTTATAGACGAAAAACTCAGTCGATCAGCAGCGCTGCTGGAAGCTACGGTTATGTAACCGACAATGGCCGAGTGTACGTTGGTGGACGACATGGTATGAGCGTGTATCCCGAAACGGGTCAAGTCTTAGGCTTAGATGGTACACATATGGTGAGTTATTGGTGACATTAAATTAAACTGGTTCCTGTATGCTGGAGATGCTATCCATTTGGTGCTATTACCAAAAACCGCTCTTTGGCACGCGTAAGAGACAGGCCTGAGCATTGAGGGTAGTTGGAGTAGGTGTTGAGGGATACTGGTTGTTCAGTACTACACAATCCTTCCGTGTCTTCACACCCACTTCGTTGGTTGCGTTCCCGCTCCAGTTTTCGGCGGTAGAAATTAGTAAATGGTTGGCAACAACTCCCCTCCCCCTTGTCCCTCTCCACTGCGAAATTTTGAGGAAAATGGGAGACTTTTTGGGAAGCTTCGGAAAAGATGATTGGTAAAATAGTAGGTAGGATGTTGAAGGAAGTCAAGCAGAGGAGGAAATTCGGGAGGAGGGGTCGTATTTTCCTAAATTGACCAAGAAACAGTGGGCCAGTTGGAGGGCCTCGAACGCACGTTCTACAATAATTGGATGGGCGGAGACCACAATCCTGATCTATGTCTTCTCATACGTGCGCCCCTTATTCTAGTGCAGAAGACGAGAAGCGCCAATGAGAAAGGCGCAGTGGTTATGATCCTCCCCCATTCCCGATCATCATGGAATGCGTCTCTAATTTGAAGTGTGAATGTTTCCGGTAGGTGAGAAGGAGAGTAAAAAGTGTGCAGTGGAACAACGCTATGTGATGACAAAGAGAGGTTGATGAATACTGATCGTAGTCAAAACGACGAGGTGTCGGATGCAAACAGATCAGTCTGGTTGGGATATAGCTCCACCTGAGGATAATCTCTGTTTGTATAGCAATAAAGTTTCCTGTAATATTTCCAGTCGTCGCTTGCACTTGGAAAGACTCATGCAGTCGCGATCTCGAAGCAAGGCTACGTCTACACATGGGGTTGAACAACCTGAATCAGTGCGGAAGGACTGAAGTGAGTTTTCCGAGTTTTCATCAAAATTGATGTCAGGAAAGGGCCTCGCCGTATGAGGTCTAGTTTCATGTCATTGAGAAATTCTCATAGTTACCGTTGTTTAGCAAGCGCCAGTATCGTCATCAGTGTCACCTCGACGTCGCGGTTCAGTCGTTGTTTGCGAACCGTCTGAACATCTCTTCGTTAAGGTTGCAGCTTCTAATGGATCAGATCTCTTATAGATCTGAACTGCATTTGAAATAGTACTGATTTTCAGGACGTTCCCTCATACTGTACCCAATGCGGGCTGTGTTCTGCTCGAGGTTCAGCGTGCCCAATACCAGCATTTACTAGGAAGACCGGCACATGCAGCTGTGGACCAGGAGAAACCCCATGCTTAAGGTAAAGTTGAAATTTCGTCCCTTGGAGATTAATCTTTTTTTGGGAACTTTTTTCTCCTTAAATGAAGCCGTCTTCATAATTGAAGGTGTGGGCTGTGTCGTTCCTGTGGTGAGTCTACACAACAACGCCCAGCAGGTGATACACCCACTCGTACCCATCTGGCTCCAGCACGGGTTTCGATAGTCAAGGCACAGCAGAATGTAAAGGTCAGTTTAAGAAACTCATCAGACTTGCTTCCTCTGCGTGAAGAGTCTGCCAACTTTTTCAAGTCATCATTGGAGTTGGATGGCAAAGCTTTTCAGGAGTAAAAGTGGTAGTAGTTCATTAAATGACATTTGAGGTAGTATCTAAGAAAGTAGTAAATACACTGACTGCTATAAGTAGGTTTATCATGTGCAGAAAATGAGGTTTTTCAGCGACTGTTACTGCTGTGACCGTTGTTGCTGCAGGTAAAGCAGTTGCTGCACTTTTTGGCTACCATTTCCTCTAGATGTTAACGTTTTGCTGCGTAAAGTAAGGTCGAACGGCAGGCCAATCCAGTGATGTTAGATTCAGCGCCATGCTTGCAGCAGGCCATCAAATGCTGATTTTGGCATCCGCGAGCCTAAGAAAGTCGTTGCGCGAAAGCCACTCACAATCAGATAGCTCCACGATTTCGGAGTGATGACAAAGGGTTAGTCTTTCTGACTCTAACCAATCCGTCATCAAGGTTATGTGCACCATGAGTGGTAACATTATCCCGGTCGTGACGAACTGTCCAGAATGGAAAATGGTCGAAAGGAATGAGGCCAGAGTCCCCGGTGGGGTGTACCACATGGTAGCCCACACCCTTGCAAGAAAGTCGTTGCTCAACGCGTCAACGCAGTGGATCAGTCTGCGTAGACAGCTTGAACAGCTAAGAAAAAAAGGATGGTAGGTCGAAGGGGGCCTGAAATGAGATGAGCTAAGGTGTCCTTGGACGACGACTTCGTATCCGTCTTTTCATATCTGCTGCGGACTCCCAGAAGAAAGTTGACGGGCGCTTTTTGAGGAGAACATATACGTTCGAATATGAGTGTGAAAGGCTGTCTCGATTCATCGTAGCGTGGCGAGTGGTTGCGTGATAGGTCTCACGTAGCGTGTTTGATGGTTGAGACCTTTTAATGCATGTCCTTCTTTTTGCATTTTTTTTTACCCTTCTTTGTACATCCGCCAACAATCAATTTTTGGATAAATGTGGCGCATTTGCATGCCCTTGTGATCCCAATGTCCGACTTTTCCTATATGTAGCACTGGAACGAGGGGACCTGTAATCACACACTCTTCCGCAACTATGTTAATCGTTACTAACTCCATATGTCCTTCTTGTAAAATGAAATGAAGGATAAATTCGCGATGTTGACTGATCTTTAAGCCCATTCCTCAGGACTTCCTTTGTTGCAAAGAAATGGGGCAGGACTTGGTTGCAGTATCGATCGCGTCAACAGTTTACATATCGCTCCAATGATTTGAAGATCTTAATACCATTGTACTCCTTTCGAGTCAAGTAAGCAGTTCATGGTATTGCAAAAAATTCGGGATATTTCTCCATCCGTCAATTGTAATTTTGAAATGTGATTTCTCTTCTATAATCGTTTAATGTTTGTCCTTCAGTAATTGTAACAGCACACTCTCGCAGTGCATAAATAAATAAATAAATAAATAGCTCTTTTATAATGTGGAACGACAAAAGAAGAAAAAACAATTATTTCAGGTCTCCTCCGTCAGTTGTGGAAACTTCCATACTATTCTCCTAGCAGCAGACGGTACCGTATTCTCGTTTGGTTCGAACTGTCATGGTCAACTGGGAACGGGAGACGTGCGCAGTAAGACTGAGCCTCAAATGGTAAGTCGTGTAGGAAGAAAGACTGAGTCATCTATTTCATACGTCCATGAAAAGAAAGGCGGTAACTAAGATAGAATACAGATAAGGATTTGGCCGGAAAGCAAGGAACAAAATAGGCCAACAGAATAAAATATCACATAGATATCATGATATCGAGGTTCCATAGAGCTTCACTGATGCAAGCTTCCTTCGTTGCAATGGTCTCACTGAGGCATAGAAGAAAAATGCAATGGGTTGAGTAGTTTGCTGGTTTCATCTTCTTCCGTCATAATTTTTCTGAAGTAGGGGTGGTGTGGTGGCAAGCTACCAAGCGCGCGTTCCGGCAAATTCCGCCCGGGCCAACCAAGCACGCACCCTCAGGGGGCGGTCATTTCATACCAGATTTGTTTGGGAAGGATAAAACACTGACTTGTACATCGGCTGGCCACCGCAAGTCATTGTATAGGCCACATCGCATTCAATAAGCCACTACGATTCTGAATGGAAGTAGAATGCGTGCCGCATCCCAGAAAGTGATTGATGAACGGCAGAGACTATATACCTCATCTTTTTCTTATCCGTGGTAATTTTTACTGGAAGCAGAAATAAGGATAAGGATAAAGTCTTCGCCGTTAATCAATCCCTTTGTGGGATGCGGCACGCATTCTACTTCCATTCAGAATCGTAGTGGCTTATTGAATGCGATGTGGCCTATACAATGACTTGCGGGGGCCAGCCGATGTACAAGTCAGTGTTTTATCCTCCCAGACGAATCTGGTACCAATTTACCGTCCCCGGAGGGTAGAAGGCTTGGTTGGCCTGGGCGGGTGTCGACCTGGGATTCGAACCCAGGACCGCGCGAGTGGTAAGCGCGCCACTTGTCACTACACCACCTCCGCCTCGAAAGCAGAAATAAATGGAAATATTCGAACTTGAGAACATTCTCATTTCTCTACCAAGTCCATGACTACGCTCCCATTGAGAAAAAGACAAGAAGCAAAGCGCAGTTCTTCGTAGTAAAGACCCCGCTGGAAAGCAAGCATAATTATCATCCAAAGGACAAAAACATGTCGATTGTTGTCTGTAGCATAACTCAATCGACCAGTTTCCTCACAGCGGAGAGCAGACGATCTTTTTTAACTCATCTACTATGCTCTTCATTTTTTTGTTGATCTTAAGTTTTGATCTAATAAGCTCACATAACTTCTTATCATAATCAATGTTAGTATTGCATTCACCTTTCAGCAATAGCAGACCTTATGTTTACTAATTCAGGTGGTTCTACCTCCGGACGTGCAGGTGGTCCAAGTAGCCGCCGGTGCTAACCACACCGTTCTACGTACATCCGTTGGAGCTGTCTATACGTTTGGTGCTCACAAAATGGGACAGCTGATAAGGTGAAGGATGAGTTGCTACTTTTTTTGTCAGAAATCTGACAGTTAGGTTGACTCTCGAGTAAGAATTCACACTGCGGCGGTGAGCTTGCTAGTCAGAATATGCCCTGCCGTGGGGAAGATTTTGGAAAATATCCCCTTCTCGCTCCTAACTTACTACGTCTTTTCCGACTTGCTTCCTTGAATTCTCCATTTCCCCAAAAGATTGCAACCGGGGCTGGTACGGCCCTCCTTCCATCCACCAGCAGTATTTCACTGTCTGGCAATGGTTGGGGGTCTTCGTACTTAAACTCAGTTAATTTACAGTGGTAGCTCTATAGTGTATCCAACCAACTATGCCAATTCCCTGCAAACACTTAGGGCGGGAAGGACGAGCCATTGGAGCGCAGACAGGGCGGCCTTCTCACCCAATCATGCCGTCTCGAGTCAGCACCAACTGACGAGAGGGCCGCCCTGGCTGCACTCAAAGTAACTCTCCCTCACACGCCTCCTCGTTTGCAAGCGGTCGAATACACAGTTATAGGCAGCTTCTCACGCTTAAACCTTAAACCCTTGAGGAATTCAGCTTACCTGTAAACTATGCTTAGCTTCGAAATTATGTTTTATACAAGCTACAAAGTTTAATTTCCACTCATTTTTAAGTACTACACGTATTCTAGACCGCCGGGCGAGGACAACTGCTGGCATGCTATCCCGAGTAGAGTGCCAGGTTTTGGACCCGGATGTGAGTCCTTTGCCACTTGGATTGGAGCTGTGGGAGATGCTACCTTGATCCACAGCCACACCGCTCTGATACATTCCGAGGACGTTATTGACGCTCAGCTGGTGGCCAGCAAGGCTAGTTATTGATTGATTTCTTCTCTCGAACTTATCACCAACTCTGGAAAAGAATGGCAATTTCAATAGGTGCACATGAAGTAATAAAAGGAGCAATACGGGTTGATCACATGGGCGGAGACGGGGACCCTTGACGATGGAAGTATGGGTGGAGTCACACATGACAGCTGCCCCTTCCTTATTGACGTTCACCATTTTCTACTGCCTTGAAATAAGGAAAACGGGGTTCATGACAATGAGGAGAAGGAGTATTCGAGGAATTCCTGATCTACTCTAGTTAATGTTGCGAATTCCGGCGTAAGAAGCGGGAACTGGAGTGGAAATGTAGTCCCTATTCACTGTTTGTCACCTAGGCTTCTCCCTTTCTTGAAATGGAGAAGCATTGCCTGTTATTGTTGAAATCACATTACTTCCAATGAAGAAAATTTGATGAATTTTCATTTGTTATTTTAGAACGACCTTTTCATTTTCCCAAGACAAGTCGGCAAAGAATACGTGGCAATTCGAAGGAAACACGGCTGCTTCGCTCACCATCAGCTTGGACCAACCAGTCTTTACACGAGGTAAGAAATTCTGAAAAAAAAACTGAGAACACTGGACGCTGGACAGGCTGGGGTTCCAGTTCAAGCATCATTTGTGCTAGGAAGTTTGCCTCCTTCTTCTTGCCTCGTCAACCTTAAGTGAGGAGTCGGGGTTGACGAAATAACGATGGTTTGCCTGAGGCAGGGGGAAACGAACTACCTGTTATTGTTGTTAACTCTGGAATGTTCTCTTTTTTTGACCGTTTGTTTTCCTTTTTTCTAATCAACCGTACCATGAGAGTGCCATGGTATGGCCGAAACCCTTTCATCAAGGACGCTTGAGCTGTTGTCCCAGCATTCTCACCAACACATCCACTTATTTTTTGGTGGCCTTCAACTCGGCTCCAACCTTTTCACTTTAGTTGCATAATTTGAAATGGTTTCAGTTGGTGTCTGGAGTCACGTCACGACATTCTTTGGTCATACAATGCAGCAGAGATGCGAGTTCAAGCCACGTCCGTGCATTTGGCCACGCAGAAGGAGGTAATTGTTAGGGATAGATAGAGTGAAAATGAAACTGCTGTACGTATTGTCAAACCACGAGAATGGGTCCCAGTAATTTCTTTAACATTTTTATTTTTCCGTATTCAAAAACACGTGGTATCGTGGTTGCCTGTCCTCTCACTAACTGCATAGTGTCTCTGCGTCTCTCAATTCACCAACGCTTATTCATGCTCTTTCTTTTATTCTTGTTATTCACTTTTCAATGCTGAAGTTCAAGCGCGCCGTATTTGGAGATTTTGGAGGGTTTCTTCTGCTTCCTTTTTTCTAGCGAGTCCTGTAGTACCTACAAAGTCATGCTGGAACCTTCTGTACCCATGGTTCGCAAGCAGTGTAGGGGTTGTAGGGGATAACGTTCTAGTCAAAGAGGGGGGGGCAGTTGTCAGGAGGTATGAAAATAAGAACGGCTTAGGCTCCTTCGCTTCTTGGCCAACCGATTGCAACGCTTCTCAACTGTAGTTGCTTCGTAAGATATCATCTTCGGCACTCTCAGATACATGGTGATCGCATGGACTCGCTGGCGTTTCTACGCTCACCTGAGTGGACTGTGCCATCCGAATCACCCACGCACTGCTCGTCAACCCAGTTGGGAATATCACTGCTCAGCTGCACCTATGCAGCAGCGACCATCTCGAAAGGGGGCGGTTGTGGAATGAAAAGGTACGCATTTTTATCATGAAATTCACCGAAGAATCAGTGTCTATGCTTTAAGCGCATTCAAATTGTAAATGTTCATTTCATGAATTTTTGAAGGACTTCATCAATTCGCCTGAGCATGGCGGATCACCAACAAGTGGTCGATCAGTTGTGTGTCGATTTGAGTCAACCTGGAGGAGGTACAGTCGTAAAATTCATGTTGAATGCTGGGAACCTGGGAAGTGTTCAGGGTTTACCTTGCCGTTTTTCAAGGTTGGGGCTACTCTGCACATTCGATAGAGGCGATCCAGGTGAAAGCAAGCAAGGATGTTCGCTTGCTGGGAATTGGGCTATATGGTGGTCGCGGAGAGTACATTGCCAAGTGAGCTCATAAGGCGTTCTGATAGACTAGATACAGTAAGCCTCACCAGTCAACTTTCAGGATCAAATTGTTTCGATTGCCAAGCGACATGTCAGATGAGCAGTGCGCGGAGATGCTCTCGGAGTCAGACGAGACACTTTACGATTGTGGTCAACGCGAAGCGGCAGCGCTAATGTTAGCTCAACCAGTGTTGATGAAGGCGAATCATTGGCATGTTGTGAGCGCTAAGATCAGGTGAATTTCTACGGGTAAAAAGAGATCACAAGAGTCGTTGAAGGGTGTGCAGGTCTCTCGATTACTGCCATTCCCATGCTTATCGCACTATGACAACAAAATTACTTTCTTATAATCAACAAGAAAAAGAATTGTTTGCGTTGAGGTTCCAATTCGAAGCAGTACATAGTGCATGCGGTAACAGCCGAGAAGCGAGCAAGTACTATCCTTCCCCACCTCTATTAAGCCGTACCAATAAGAAGAACGAAGAACCTTGCTATGCTGTGGGATCCGATTTTAGTCTTGTTGATCATGCCATACCTGGTACAGCTTCGTGAAAACATCAGGGCTAGAAGGGTCCACAGTTCGACAGTAAGCATGAAAGTTTTTTTCCTGTATTCCAGCTCTGAAAAAGGTTTCGTCTCATCAGCACTTGTAATAAAGCCTCCTGTTTTTTGATAAACTGGTAACCAACGAA